GGCCTGCACCACCATGCCTGTAATCATATATTCTTTCGTCATGTGTTCTTTTTTGTTGTTGTTGTGAGGTAGGGTCTCACTGTGTAGTTCAGGCTGGCCTTGAACTCACTGTACAGCCCAGGCTGGCCTCAAACTTGCAGTGATCATCCTGCCTCAGCTTCCCAAGTGCTGGGATTACAGGTATACGCCACCACATCTGGCTCATCATATATTCTACATAGGAGTCCTCTGCCTGAGTAATAGTTGACAAAAAATTTTCCTGTTCTGTAGGCTGTCTCTTCATTCTGTTGGTTGTTTCCTTTGCTGTGCGGAAGCCTTTCATGTTGATATGATCCCATTTGTTGATTCTTGATGGTATTTCTTTTGTCTTACTATGTAGCCGAGCTGGGCTCAAACTGGTGGTGATCCTCCTGCTTCAACCTCGTGAGTGCTAGGATTTCAGGCCTGCACCACCACACATGGCTTCTTGCTGTTAGTTCTTATGCAGTTGGGGTTCTGTTCAGAATGTCCTTGCCTATGTGTATGTCTTCAAGAGTTTTACCTATTTTATCTTCCAGCAGATTAGCTGTTTCTATTTTATCATTTAGATCTTTGAACTATTTTGATTTTAGTTTAGTTCATGGTGTGATATATGGGTCTAGACTCAATCTTCTCCGTGTGGCTGGCCAGTGTTCCCAACACTGTTTATCAAAGAGGCTGTCTTTCCTCCAGGGTATGTTTTTGTCCTCTTTGCTAAAGATCCGGTAGCTGAATGTGCCTGGAGTTATTTCTTCCTCCTCTCTTCTGTTCTGTTGATCCACTTTTGTACTAGTACCATGCTGTTTTTATCACTGTAGCTTTGTAGTATCATTTGAAGTCTGGTATTGGGATGCCACTAGCTTTGCTCTTGTTACCCAGGTTTGCTTTTGCTATTCTAGGTTTCTCTTGGTTGCATATGAATTTTAGGGTTGTTTTCTCTGGTTTTGGGAGGAATGCTGTTGGTATTTGGATTGAGATTGCATTAAATCTGTGTGTCAGTTTTGGAAGTGTGGTCATTTTGACAGTATTGGTTACACCTATCTAGGAACAGGGGACATCTTTCCATTTTCTGATGTCTTCCTTGGTCTCTGTTTTCAGAGTACAATACTGTGGTTTTTGTTGTAGGGGTCTTTCTTTCTTTCTTTCTTTCTTTTTGTCTCTTTGAGACAGGGTCTTGCTGTGCAGCTCAGGCTGACCCTGAGCTCACTTTGCAGCCCAGTCTGGTCTCAAACTCACAACAATCCTCCTGTCTCAGCCTCCTGAGTGCTGGGATTACAGGCATGTGCCACCATGCCTGGCAGTGAAGGGTCTTTCACTTCCTTTGTTAGGCTAACTCCTAGGTATTTAATTTTTCTGAATGGTATTGTGAATGATACTGTTTTCCTAATTTCTTTCTCAACGAGTTCTTTATTGGTGTTTAGGAGCACTCTTGATTTTTGTATGTTGATTTTGTATCCTACTACACTGCTGAATTTGGTTATTAATTCCAGGAGTTCGTAGTGGAATTTTTGGGTCTTTTATGTAGGGGTAGTGTCATCTGCAATGACAACTAGACTTCCTTTATTATACATATCCATTCTGTTTCTTCTTCTTACCTGGATGCTCTGGCAATGTTTTGAGTACGATATTGAACAAGAGTGGTGATAGTGGGCATCCTTGTTTAGTTCCTGATTTTTATAGGGAAAACTTTCAGCCTTTTCTCACTTAATATGATGTTGACAGTAGGTTTGTCATTAATGGCTTTTATCAGATTGAGGTTAGCTCCTTCTATACCTATTTTCACTCACAGTTTTGTTTTATTGTGACAAAGGAAAAATTACAACAAATGCAGTTTTACAGATAACCTGAAATGGCTTTTATGGTTCTAGAATCAGGCAGTAGTCTAGACCAAAACTGGTTCGGAATGCTCTGCCCTGCCACCTATGCAGGTTGTATTTGAGTCAGGAAAAAAGGAAGTGACATACACAACGGGAAGTGTCTTGACTACTTTTCTCTTGTTGCTGAGACAAAATACCTGATGCCCAAAATTAAGGAAGGAAAGGTTTATTTAGCTCACAGTTTGTGGAGGTTTCAGTCCATACTTGGCTGGCTCCAAGGCAGAGTGGCACATGGCAGAGGGCAACAGTTCAAGGCAGTGGAATACAGCAAAAGCAACAAGCGCAAAAAGGGAGGAGCAGCGGAGAGCAAGCGTCTTTCCCTCCCTTATATTGTTTGCAGGCTACCTGCTCCAGGGTGGGTGTAGCACTCACACCCATAATCCCAGCATTTGGACCATGATCAATCATAACCTCAAGAAGCCCGCCCCGTGACTGCATAAGGCTTTGGGGGGACAACTAGACACAAACCATAACAGGAAGTGAGATATAAAGAGAGCTGATTGATTAAAGTCTGCCATTTGCCTTATTTGAACCTGCTTTGAATAGTTGGTTGTTGTGATTGGCTGAGGTTTGGCTACTTATTACAAGAATAGGTAATGGGGGAGTGAGGTTATAATTCAGTATGAGGGCAGAAACCTTTAGGCCAAATTTAGTTCAATTTAACATTTTTTAAATTTTAATTTTTAATTGCCAGTTGACAAACTATAGTTGTGTATATTTATAGGGTACAAAGTGATGTTATGACTTGCGGAATACAGTGTAGAATAATAAAATTAAGCTAACAATACCCATGCCGTCAAAGACATATTTTGTGATGAGAACATTCACTCTTGGTGATTTGGAAATGTGCAGTACGTTATTGTGTACTTTGTATATCATGCGGGTGCAATATCTCTCAAAGAGAAGAAATGTGATTTTTCCTGTCTCGCTGAGGGTGGAACCCCCTTGACCATCATCACCCACGTCCCCCCACCAGCCTCTGGTAACTATTATTCCACTTGCTTCTCTGATTATCATAGACTCCACATACACGTGAGCCCACATGGTCCTGCATGTTCTTTCTGTGCCTAACTTATTTCACTGGCTCGGTGTTATCTAATGGCAAATTAACAAACATCTTTCTTTTTAAAGACTGAATACTATTTCATGTATTTCATATTTCTCGTGTGTGTATATGTGTGTGTGTGTGTGTGTGTGTGTGTGTTAGTTACTGAGGCTTGAACCCAAGGCCACATCCCTAGCCCTTTATTCTTTATTTTGAGACAGGGTCTTACTAAGTCACTAAGTTACCTAGGTTGAGCTCCAACTTTTTTTGGTAAATACCCAGAAGTAGGATGGCTGGATTTACTGACCAGTTTTAATTACTGTTTTTCCTAACTACAAATTACCTGTTTTTCCCTATCATGAAGCGAGCGTTTGCTCATGAGCAAGGTGCAGAGGTCACTTAGCGCGTCCGAGGTGCAGATCTGGGAAGCGGAAGTGGAAGAGGATGACATGAGGGAAGGCGATCTGGGGTATGGCTGCGGACGGAGCCCCGGCAGCCTCAGTAAGCTGGAAGTCTCACATCCACTTACATCTAGACGATCAGACGGAAGGAACTGCAGTCTTCCTCCACTTCCAAGAGCCGGAGAAGAAAGCAGAGGGGCTGTTTCCCAGTGTTCCGTGCACACGAGCCTGCAAACCACCTGCCCTCAGAGGCCCAGAGTGGGCAGCTGCAGCCACGAAGGGAAGCCTGGTAAGGGTGCCAGTCCTCTCCTCCTCCCTTTCCCATGCGCAGTCGCCCTCCCAACAGATACAGACAGAAACCACGCAGGTTTCAGAAATTCATCTTCGCTCACCCTTGCCACGAGCGAGGTTATCCATAGCACAGAAGTAACTGGTGTTTGTATTTCCAACCTTTGTGCAAGTTATGAACTACAGTAGTTATTCTGCATTACTAATATACATGTGTATATGTTTCTTAGTGGTAACAGTTATCACCTACCTTCCTTATTGTGTTTTTTTTTTTGTACCGGGGATTGAGCGCAGGACCTTCACACTGAGCTGTATCCCCAGCTCATCTTTTATTTTTTATTTTGAGACAGGGTCTTGCTAGGTCGCATGTTGTTTATGCTGGACTCAAACTTGTGATTCTGCTGCCTCAGCCTCTTAGAGTGCTAGGGCTATAGGCATGTGCCACCACGCCTGGCTTCTATCTTGCTTTTTTGTGGGGATAGTTTTATTTTTATTTTCTCAGCCAACCCATAGTTACTGGGTACCATGAGATACCAGGCCCAGGTCTAGGTTCTGGCAATAACGTAAGTGAGCAACACAGGGCGAGGCACTGATGTCATGTGTTTCGCACTGTAGTTGAGGAGCAGGAGGTAACCCCACAAATCAGCACCTGCATAGCCTCAGCAGTGCTAATGAGAAGACAGTGCAGTAGCACGGGGTGCTGTGGGTGCTGCTGGGCCAGGGATTGGGGTGGATTCTTGGAGGTGATGGGTGAGCACTTCCACAAAGTGGGGAGCCAGCCTGGTGGTTACCTGGGCAAGGGTGTTCCAGGCAGCACGTGGTGCTAGGATGCCTTTGTAAAAACGTGAGGAAACTGCAGGAAGATAAGCCAGGTCTAACAGTAAGTGTGAGCCCGTTTTGTTTGGGTTATAGACTTTTGTCATTTTGTCAAAGTTGACCTGACCCTAGGTCAGGGTTATTTCAGTGGTTTCTTTCTTTCTTCCCTTCCTGCCCTGCAGATGGAATCCGATTACACACTGTAGCCCTGAGCTACACCCCCGCCCCTGTGGAGTTTCTTGTTGCTAACGCCTAATTTCTAAACTGCCCCATGAAGTGGCTTGAAACAACGCTCAGTAGACTTATTAACTTAAATCTTAACAGTTCTGCAGGTCTGACGGCCAAGACAGATTTCACTGGCAACCCGCAGGGGTGGGCAGGACTGTGGCCCTTCCCTGCCCTGCCCAGACTTCAGGGCTGCCTGCGCGCCTTGCTGTGACCCCTTCCTTTGCCGTCACAGCCAGAACTGGCTGCCTGAGTTCTTCTCATAGTGAGTCACATTGACAGGGACTCTTGGCTCCCCTCTCTCATTTACAGGACTTCTGAGTGCCCCGAACCCACCTGGCTAAGCCACGTAATCCCACCTCTCTGTATTCTCTCCGTGACCATTCGGTCAGCCCCTTCCGCCATGGGTTCATGGGCTCTGGGGATCAGGATGTGGACATCTTTGGCTCCATTATTCAGCCAGCCACACACAGCACTAGGACAGAACTTGTCATTGCCAATCTAATGTCACTGTGTCCTCCCTTGGACATCGGTCATTCCAGTGAAAACGTAGTTTAGGTTTGGCCTTGCATACTGTCATGTCAGTGAGAGTTCACAACAGCAAAGAAAAAATTGTTTTGAGGAATGTTCAGTGGCCCTCGAAGTATTCTTTCTGAAATTATTTTTCTTTCTGTTACTAGTTCTTGTACTCGTGCTTGCAACCCAGCACCTTCATATGTTTTCCTGCCAGTGAGATGGAAATGAAAATGCAGCTCTTACGAAGCTCAGTTTAATTTCTTGGTTGATTGTAGTGAGGAGAGAATAATTGAAGTCCCACGAGGCATCTAGTCAGTTATTCTCCATGGGAAGAAGTTATTTCTTAGCCATTCATATTACTACACTGATGAAGCTTAAGCCAAACAGCAGCATCTGTTTATTTTACTCGCCAATATTCATGTGTCCCCATACATTTGTGTTTGGGTATAGTAATTAATCAATGCATTAACATAAGTTTTATATGTTAGAGTACCTTTTTAGAAGTCCTTTCATTGAAAATTTGTGATTTTTCTCCTTCCTCTTCCTCCTCCTCCCTTCCCTGTCTTTTTCCCCCTTCTTCTTCTTTTTCCTCTTCTTCTTTTGCTTCCCCTTTCTCTGCTTCTTCCTCCTCCCCCTCCTGTTGTTCCTCTTCCTCCTCCTCCTCCTCCTTCTTTTCTTTCTTCTTTTCCTTCTCCTCCTCCTCCTGCTCCTTCTCCTCCTTGTCCTTCTCTTTCTCTTTCTCCTTTCTTCTTGTATTGGGAATTGAATCCAGGTACTTTGCATGAAGCTATATCCCCAGGCCTTTTTCAAAAATTTTTTTCCATTTTGGGATAGGACCTTGATAAGTCCCTGAGTTGCTCAGGCAGGGTTTGAGTTTGTAGTCCTTTCCTCAGCCTCTCAGGAGGCTGAGCTTACATACATGACGGCTGCATTGTTGACGGCATGGAGATCTTGCCCAAGGTGATTAACAGTC